ATTGCACCTACGTGTATGTATAGCCACCCCAAGACATCCCGGAGCTCCGTGGAGAGACATATTCCACAGCCTAACCGGATAGAAGCTATGTTGTATTGATGCATGGCCAAATGTTGAAATGAATGGCGCGCACCCACCCACCCACCCACCCACCCACCCACCCACCCACACACGCATGTATGTATGCATGCATGTATGCATGCATGCGTGTCTTCATGTGTGTGTGTGTGTGTCTGCACGTGCGTGCACGTACGGATATATGTGTGTATGTGTGTATACAGGTTCGTATGCATATGTACGCTTATATGCACACATCTGTAACCACACATATGAGCAGCGCAGAAAAACGGGACCGTCTTCACCGGCATTGGCCGCGGATGGGTCGCGTAAGCCACCGCGTAACGTCGCTGTGCCATCTCGCGTAAGACCCGTTTTTGATCGTCGCGGCATCATGGCCCGAGGCATGTGCGCGGACGGGGGGGCGGACAGCCAGGGGCCGCGTGTTGAGCTGAGAGGAAGGGGCCATGAATTCCGGGGAGATGCCGATGGCCCTGGTCATGGGATCCATCCCCTCCTCTTCTCCCTCCTCCTTTTCTCGTGTGCGTGTGTGTCTTTTTGCATGTGCACATTCTTCACGCGCGGCGGGGGCCGCGAGGGGAGTTGGGCCGCACGTTTTCCCGCGCGGAGAGAGGTGGCGGAGATGCTGACGCGCTGCGGCATCGGGAAGCTCCTGCTGTTCGACTACGACAAGCCGCGCGCCGTCGCCCCCGACGACGAAGCTGATGACGACGGCGAGGGAGGAGGGAGGAGGCAGGAAGGAGGAGGAGGAGGGAGGAGGAGGAGGAGGAGGCGAAGGAGGAAAAGGAGGACCAGTGTGCAGCTATGACGCAGCAACGATGTTTCAATAAACCGTTCTCCCAAGTTCCCCCTTCATGAGCCCCTAGAACAATTTCTTGTCATTGCGGGAGGCGCCTTGTGTTTTGGAAGACAAGCGTCTGATAACCCATCAATCATGGGTTTCAGCGCATCGAATCAACGTGACTGTTGCGTCCGGGAAGTCCCAGATCGTACCAGAAGTCCTTTCGTGAGATAGTAGCACCGCGAATCAACGTGATTGCTGCGTTTCGACAAACATCATTCGAGCCAGAACACCGTTCAAGGGATTGCACACTTTGTGCAACTGTGCGGTTGCACACGGTTGTAACGGTTGCACTTCTTGTGCAGCGCATGTGCGTGGCGCTAGGGCGAGAACCACATTTTGAAAACGGACCGCCCTCCATCCCAGAAGGTGTTGCAAACATTGTAGACGAACGTGCGCGGTGCCAAGGGGAGAGCCGCAATGTGAAACCCACCCGCTTTCCATACATGAAACTGTTGCAGCCTTCAGGCATCAGGAGCATACATGCGTACATGGTGAGGGAGTCTCAGGCGAAATGCCCGGCCCGCCCTGCCGCCAACACGTTTCATTTTCCAACCATCCTGTGGTGTTGAATCTTCGTTTTGAAGAGAGCGCCCCGCGTTCCTCTCCTCCTTTCCTTCTTCCTTCTCGTCCTCCCGCTCCCTTCTTCTCGTCGTCGTCGTCGTCGTTATCCTCCTCCTCCTCCTCCTCCTCCTCCTCCTCCTCCTCCTCCTCCTCCTCCTCCTCCTCCTCCCCCTCCTCCTCCTCCTCCCCCTCCTCCCTCCCCCCTCCTCCCATCCCTGCCTCTGCCTTCCGCATGTCTACCATTTCAGCGCACCTAGTGCAGCGTTTTGTAGCTCCATGGGGAGCTCCACCGAAGGCCTCAGTGGCGGTGTTCGTATTCGTCTCCCCCACCCATTGCATCGTTTCGTGGCCCCATGGGGGGGCTCCATCGAATGCCCTAGTGGTGGTGCACCCAGTACAGCGTTTCGTGGTCGCACAGGGGGCTCCACCCAAGGCCGCAGTGGCGGTGTTCGCATGCGTCTCCCCCACCCAGTACAGCGTTTCGTGTACCCAGAAGGGGTTCCACCGAAGGCCCCCGTGGCGGTGTTCGCATGCGTCTCCCTCACTCAGAACAGCGCTTCGTGGCCCCATAGGGAGCTCCACCGAAGGCCTCACTGGCCGTGCTCGCACGCGTCTTCCCCACCCAGTACAGCGTTTCGTGGCCCCATCGGGAGCTCAACCGACGGTCCAAGTGGCGGTGCTCGCACGCGTCTCTCACACTCAGCACAGCGTTTCGTGGCCCCATAGGCAGCTTCACCGAAGGCCCCCGTGGCGGTGTTGCATGCGCCTTCCCCGCCCACTGCCACGTTTCGTGGCTCCATATGGGGATCCACCGAAGGCCCCAGTGGTGGTGTTCGTATGCGTCTCCCTCACCTCAGCACAGCGTTTCGTGGCCTCATAGGGAGCCCTACCGCAGGCCCCAGTGGCGGTGTTCGCATGCGTCTTCCCCGCCCGGGACAGCGTTTCGTGGCCCCATGGGGAGCTCCATCGAATGCCACAGTGGCGGAGTTCGCACGCGTCTTCCCCACCCAGTACAGC